TAGAGGAGGCACGGGCAGAGAAGCAGCTCAACGCCTCTGTGAAGGTAACAGCAGCAGCAGCAGCAGCAGTGATGCAGCTTTGCTTGACTTGCAGCAGCATATGGGAGACACCACTTGAGGGTTATATTATAGAGAGTCTGCACACCGTACCGATTTGCTGCTGCTGCTGCTGCTGCTGCTGCTGCTGCAGGCATTGCTGTCTCAGAAGGCTTCGGGGGAATGTTGGAGTTCAGATGAGGAGCGCCGTCTGTCTTTGTTGCTGCTGCAGCTGTAGGCCGTCCTGTCTCTCTGCAGCAGCAGCTGCTGCTGCTGCTTGCGCTGCTGCTGCTGCTGTGTATGGTGCTGTTGCTGCTGCTGCTGTTGTGTATGCTGCTTCTGCTGCTGTTGTGCATGCTGCTGCTGCTGCTGCTGTAACCCGCTTGTTCAGCTAGGTACCCACAAGGCTCTTTCTCGCCGACTTGCTTATCTGCACGTCTTGCTGCTGCTGCTGCTGCTGCTGCTGCTGCTGCAGGTGTACCAAGGACAGTTTTAAGCAGCTCGATTTCATTCGCCAGGTGGGGCGGAAGAGGGTTTAGGGTTTGCCGACAGGGCTAAGAACCATTTGCTACTAAGGATTTAGGGTTTAGGGTTTAGGGTTTAGGGCTTAGAGTTTAGGGTTTAGGGTTTAGGGTTTAGGGTTTAGGGTTTAGGGTTTGGTATTCCTGTCGCAGGAGACGCCGCTGCTGATGATGCGCATAGCGAACGACCAGGCTGCCACATCTCGGAGCTGTACGCTCTAGGGTTTAGGGTTTAATTTAAGGGTTGAGGGTTTAGGGTTTAAGGTTAATGGTTTAGGTTAAGTGCTCAAGGTGTTTAGGTATAGGGGCGTAGGGTCGAGGCCTAAGGGTTTAGGGTTTAGGGTTTAGGGTTTGATATGTTGCTGTCTTCAGCCCCGCCGAAGCCAAGTCAACCGCCTCCGGCTCCACAGCGCCCTTGGGCTGCAACTTTTGTAAGTTTGCTGCTGCTGCTGCTTGCTGTTACTTGCTGCTGCTGCGGCTTGCTGCTGCTGCTGCTGCTGCTGCTGGAGTGTACCCGCAACACTGAAGAGGAACTGCTCTCGTCGGTTGCCTTGCTAGGGGTTTATTAATTGCTTCTGATGCTGCTGCTGCTGCTGCTCCTGCTTGTGATACTGCTGCTGCTGCTGCTGCTCCATCTGTTGGTGCTGCTGCTGTTGCTGCTGCTGTTGCTGCAGAGGAGCGGGGCTGATGTTCGCAACTTCATTCGCTCGCGCGTCTTCCAGCCATCCCACAGTCCGCATCCGCCGAGTTGCTGCTGCTGCTGCCGCTGCTGCTTGCGTGCTGCTGTTGCTGCTGCATGCGTGCTGCTGCTGCTGCACCTCGTTGCTACTCCTAGTTTGCTGCTGCTGCGCCTCATTGCTGTTTCGAGCGCAGCTAGCTGATATCAGGGTACTCAGGTGTCTCGCTGGCTTGCTAGCCAGCTAGCTGTATCCCTGGCTATCCAGCTAGCTAGCTAGCTAGCTAGCTAGCAGCTAGCCACGAACAAGGCCCTTTGTCTGCTTTGTTTGCTGCGTAGATCTCCCTACGATGAGTCTGGCGGAGTGCGCCGACATTGAAATGGAGATGGAGACGTGAGTCCCTGCTAGGCAACCTCTAGCTAGCTGGCTAGCTAGCTACACAGCTAGCTAGCTACCTATCTAAGCATGGAGGCACCTAGCTGGGGTAGCAGTTCTCGCGCTGGCTGCTTCCTCTGCCTCTGCCTGGCTTCGTTGTGTGCTCACCTCGCTAGCTAGCCACCTAGTTAGCTAGCTAGCTAGCTAGCTAGCTAACCATGTTGTTATGTAGCTATCTGAGTAGCTAGCTGGACAGATAGTTAACTAGCTAGCTGGCTAGGAGGGCGCGTGCAGTTTGCTGTGGGTGGGGTTGATGTTGCTAGCTAGCTAGCTAGCCGACTAGCGAGCTAGCCTCCTAGCTAGCTAGCTAGCTGGCTAGCTAGCTAGGAGCGCATTTGATGGGTGGGGTTGTTGTTGCGTCTGCAGGAAGCAAATTGGGGCAGCGAAGCCGAAAGTTGTTGTGGAGTTCTCCACTGGGGAGGCGAGACAAGCGGTCAGCTATCGATCTGCTGCTGCTGCTGCTGCTGCTGCTGCTGCTGCTGTTGTTGTTGTTGTTGTTGTTGAGGGTGCTGCTGGTGCTGAGGCTTCTGCTGCTGCTTGTTGGATGCTGCTTCTGAGGCTGCTGCTGCTTGTTTGCTGCTGCTGCTGCTGCGTGTTTGCTGCTGGTTTCTTGTGCTGCTGCTGCTTTTTCTCGTGTTGCTGCTGCTGTCTTCTGTTGCTGCTGCTGCGCGTTGGATACCGCTCTCTGATGCTGCAGCTGCTGCAGTGTCTTCTGCTTATCTATCTGCTGCTGCTGCTGCTGCTGCCCTGCAGGCAAAGGAAGCGGAGGAGATGGAGGCTAGGGCCTGGGATGACTGGAAGGTTAGCAGCGGCGGTCGTTGTTTTGCTGCTGCTGCTGCTGCTGTTGTTGTTGCTGCTGTTGCTGCTGCTCCTACAGTTGCTGCTGCTGGTGCTGCTACAGCTACTTCTGGTGCTGTTGCTAGAGCTGATGCTGCAGCGGATGCTGCTGCTACAGCTGATGCTGTTGCTGCAGTTGTTTTCGCTGCTGCAGCTGTTGCTGCTGCTAGAGCTGTTACTGCAGCTGCTACTACTGCTGCTGCTGGTGTTGCTGCTACTAGTGTTGCTCATACTGCTACTACTGTTGCTGCTGCGTTTGCTGCTGCAGGATGAGAATCCGAAAGGGTCGGGCAATAAAATGTGGAATAGAGGGTAGAGACAGCTTCTGCTGCAGCAGCAGCTCTAGCTGCTGCTGCGGCAGGTGGCTTCTTGCTGCTGCTGCTGCTGCTTGTGTTGGTGCGGTGTATCCGCGCTGCTGATGCTGCAGCAGCGATAAACTGCATCCGCTACGGGCATGCAGCAGACAGCAACGGTACAGTAGAGTGTGGGGCTGCAGCAGCAACCTGCTGCAGGCTTGCTGCTGCTGCTGCTGCTGCTGTTAGAGCACCCAGGAAGACAATCAAATTTTAATTGAATTGGTTGGATAGAAAACGAAAAGATCCCTCATTGCATGCATGCTGCAGCAACAAGCCTTCCTTCGCCGCTGCTGTTGCTGCTGGTGTTGCTGCTGCTCATTGGCAGAAGCAGCAGAAGCAGCAGCAGCAGCAGCGGCAGCAGCAGCAGCGGCTGCGGCGGCAGCTAAGAAGCGCCTCTATGGGGTTCATGAGGCGAAGAGGTGTTTGCTACTAGAGACAGCAGCGGTGTGGAAGAGCAGCAGATGCAGCATGCATGCAGCACGGGCGGTGTACATGCAGCTAGCTGCTTACCTACTGAGGTGTATGCCCAGCTATCATACACTTCAAACATAAACGAAGGCAGGCGTCTTCTTACCCAGCTGTACATACACCCCAACAGCAAATACACCCCAATATATTCAGGTCCCTATAGCCACCGCAACACCGCACACCGCCACGAGGTGTATATACACCTCAGGTGTATGTACACCTCAGGTGTATGAATGTACACCTCAAGTGTATGTTCAACTCAGGTGTACGTACACCAGGTGTATATACACCTCAGGTGTATACACACCTCAAATGTATGTACCCTTCAAGTGTATGTACACCTCCGGTGTATATACACCTGAGGTGTATGTACACCTGAGGTGTACGTACACCTCCGCCCGCCGCCAGTGTTGCACTGCATGTACAGTCGACAACAAAAAAATAAAACATCGGCCAAATAATAACTGAAGATGTTCTGTCCGCGCAATATCACTACAAAGGAACCCGCGGGGACCTGCTGCTGTTGCTGCTGCTGCTGTTGCTGTTGCTGCTGCTGTTGTTGTTATTCCCCTGGACAAAACGCACAACGCTGCGAAGGTGCAGCAACGGGTCTTGTGCTGCTGCTGCTGCTGCTGCTGCTGCAATCGTCCCCCCACTAACGCAGAGTCCACACCACCACCTACTGACGGTGATAGAATGCAGCTGCGCTATATCTTGCTGCTGCTGCTGTTTGGCTGGCGCAGCTGTTGCTGCTGCTGCTGTGTGGCTGGCGCAGCTGTTGCTGCTGCTGCTGCTGCGCAACGTGGGGGGTGCGCGAGCTAGCCACCTTGGCTAGCTGCGTACAAGGCCTGCCGGGCCTCCAAGTGGCGAGATCGCTAGCTGGCAGCTAGCTAGAGGGTGGCTAGCTAGCTGCGCAAGCTCTGGTTTAGCTTATAGCTAGCTAGGTGATGGCTAGCTAGCTGCGCACGCAGGTGGCTAGCTAGCTGCACAGGCAAGTGGCTAGCTGGAAGGTGTAGTAACTGAGCAGCAGGGACCCGACTGTTTTTTTGCTGCTGCCTTGTCGTGAAGATAAACTGAATCCTCACACGGGGGCTCAGCGCTGCTGCTGCTGCTGCTGCTGCTGTTGCTGTTGCTGCTGCTGCTGCTGCCGCTACTGCTTGTGTTGGTGGTGGCGATGGTGCTGGCGTTGGTGCTGCTGCTGTTGCTGCTGCTGTTGTTAGTGTTGCTGCTGCTGCTGTCTGTAGGCGAAAGGGAGTGGACGATTCTTCGTTTGCTGCTGCGCTGCAGAAACTCTTTTGTGTCTCTTTCTCGGTGTAGCAGTTTCTGGGTGGTGTTGCTGCTGTTGCTGCTGTTTGTGCTGCTGTTGCTGCTGTTGCTGCAGCTGTTGTTGTTGTTTGCGTTGATGCTGGCAGTGGCGGAGGCGGTGGCTGTGAGAGTTTTATGTACTTGATTGCTAGCGCTGCTGCTGCTGCTAGGGTTGCTGCTACTGCTGCTGTTGTTGTTGCTGCTGCTGCTGCTGCTATCTCCCCTTTGCCTTGGCGCTCGCGTTTGCATGTTGCGAATGAGACTGCTGGTGTTGCTGCTGCTGCTGCTGTTGCTGTTGCTGTTATCTCTGTTCTGTAAAGCAGCAACGGCACCGGCTGTAGCCGCGCCGCTGCCACCACCAGCACCACCACCACTGCTGCTGCTGCTGCTATTGCTACCAGCAGCAGCAGCAGCAGCAGCAGAAGCAGTCCCCTTAGGGATTCGGAGACACCCTACTCTATAAGCCATAGCAACTTTAAGTGCAAACTCCCACAGCCCCAATTCGTAGGCCAAACGAAAAAGATCTGTCAAAGTCAAAAATTTCAACTGGCCGCACGCCCCAGCCTAAAAAGGAGACAAAAAGGAGACAGAAAGGAGACAGAAAATGCATTAAAAGAGACAACTAAAGACCAGATAATACACCTAAAATGCATCTTTTATAAGGAAACTTTACCCGCGACAAAGGAGACAAAAAGCAAGCAAAAAGGAGACAAAAAAGGAGACAAAAAGGAGAGAAAAAGGAGACAACACATGTAGAATAGGAGACAGCTAACTAAGAAGGAGACAGTAATACACTTGAAGTAGATCCTTCATAAAGGAACTTCACCCTCGACAAAGGAGACAAAAAAGGAGACAAAAAGGAGACAAAAAGGAGACAAAAAGGAGACAAAAAGGAGACAAAAAAGCAGACAAAAAAGAGACAAAAAAGAGACAAAGGAGGGAGAGACACCCCTAATTAAATCGATGACTCAGCTGTCTCTCCTGTAACTGTCTCCTCTATGAATAAAGTGTCTCCTCTATAAATAAAGTGTCTCCTCTATGAATCAAGTGTCTCCTCTATAAATAAGGTGTCTCCTATATAGCCGTCTCCCCTATAGATGAAGTGTCTCCTCCATACACGAAATGTCTCCTTTGTAACTGTCTCTTCTATAAATAAAGTGTCTCCTCTGTAGCCGTCTCCTCTACAACTGTCTGCTCTATTAACGAAGTGTCTCTTCCACAACTGTCTCCCTCATAAACGAAGTGTCTCCTTTATAAATGAAGTGTCTCGTCTCTGGCTGTCTCCTCATAAAGTGTCTCCTCTATAACTGTCTCCTGCGTAGACGGACAGTCTCTACAAAGTCTCAACAAAGGAAGTGTCTCCTCTGCATCTGTCTCCTTTGCTGCTGCAGCTTTTGCTGCTGTTTCTATTGCTGCTATCTCCTCTATAACTGTCTCTCTTCTATAACTGTCTCCTTTACAAGTACTCTCTCAATCAATGTAGCAGCATCTATCAACAAAAACAAACAATAAAGCCTCAACAACAAACAACAAAAGAAAACTGCATGCATTATAAAGCCCCATGGACCACCATCCCCAATGCATGCATACACCTGCAGTGTATATATATATATATACATATAGTATGCATGCATGCATGCATACACAGATTGGGGCTGTATGAATACAAATAAATTAAATAAATAAATAAACAAGCAAATAAATAAGCAACTAAATAAATAAATAAGTAAACAAATAGACAAATAAACAAACAAACATAAATAAATATATATATATATATATATATTATATTTAGTATAATTATGTTGTATCGTTAAGTATTGATTAACCTCAAGTTTTTCTCTGACAACAACAAGAAGAAGTTTTCTGCCTAAGTCTCCGACAGCAAACCGTTTGCCTTGAGAGTAGTTTCTATCAAAGCCTCCCGGGTCTATATCATCAATATGCGTTGCATCCAGCTCGAGTGCGAGAGCTTCTAAATCGTATGTCTGTCCATACAGCTGCTGCACTGTAGCACGTGGGGCCCCACGGATAGACTTCCCCCCCCTCCGCATTGATGATGTCTCGTTTATACTGCTGCTGTTGCTGCTGCTGCTGGAGCTGCTGCTGCTGCTGTTGTTGCTGCTGCTGCTGTTGATGCCTACAGAGGCCAAACCGCCGCTGCTACGCCGCGGACTCAATGCAGGCCAAGATCCACATGCATCCTGCTGCTGCTGCTGCTGCTGTTGCTGCTGCTGCTGCTGCTCATCATCCTCTTCCTCGTTTTCCTCCTCCTGCTTCGGCTGCACAGGCATCTGCGTCTGGCGTTCTCGTTGTTTTTGCTCTTGCTGCTGCTCTTGCTGCTGCTGCTGCTGCTGCTCTTGCTGCTGCTCTTGCTGCTGCTCTTGCTGCTGCTCTCCTTGAAGACCCTCCTGGCGTGCTGAACCCGCTGCGTTGGTTTCTGCAAAAGAAGACACAGGGCGCCTGGGCAGCAGCAGCAGAGACCTCTCCTGTTCTGCTTCTGCTGCTGCTGCTGCTGCTGCTGTTGCTCCTGGCCTTGATGGTTCTGCTGGTTCTGCTGGTTCTGCTGCAGCTGGCTCTGTTGCTGCTGCTGATGCTCCGCTGCGCTTTAAAGGAGGACAGCCCGAATCAGCGGAGACGACAGCAGCAGCAGCAGCAGCAGCAGCAGTTTGAGTAGCAGAACCTTCTGAGGCGAGCCCAGTTAATTCGTCTTCCTCCATCGACTCCAGCACCTCCTCTGCGCAAACAATCAGCAGCAGCAGCAGCAGCAGCAGTAGCACTACAGCAGCAGCAACAGCTGCAGCAAACCTGTCTCTGCGCTACCTGCTGCCTGTCACTAAACCTCTCCTCGCTCGCTCTGCCTCTGCTGCTGCTGCTATTGCGCTGCTGCTACTATTGCTGCTGCTGCCATTGCTGCTGCTGCTCTTCCTGCTGCTGCTGCTGCTAGTGCTGCTGGTGGTATTGCTATTTCTGCTGCTGCTAGTGCTGGTGTGCTGCTGGTGGTATTGTTACTGTTGTTGCTGCTGCTGCTGCTGCTACTGCTGCTATTGCTGCTGCTGCTGCTGTTGCTGCTAGCAGTACCTCTGATTCTTCTGTAGCGATAGGCCTGCCTGCGGGGCCTCCTGAGACCCTGAGGCTCCTGCGCTGCAGCAGGAACTTCCTCACGTCGTCTCAGCGATTTCCGTCTCTGCTGCTGCTGCTGTTGTTGCTGCTGCTGTTGTTGTTGCTGTTGTTGCTGGTGGTGCTGTTGTTGCTGCTGCTGCTGCCGGCGGTGCTGCCGTAGCGGCTGCTGATCCTGCTGCTGCTGCTCCTGCTGCTGCGGCTGCTGGCTCCGCTCAACAGACTTAAGAGGGCCTGGAGGAGACGAGGAGGGGCCTTGCTGCTGCTCAAGGGTCAGCAGCAGCTCCTGCTGCTGCTGCTGCTGCTGCTGCGCTGGGGAGCACCGCTCCTGCTGCACTTCTCCAGCGCGCTGCTGCTGCGAAGCAGGCATCACCAACTGCTGCTGCTGCTGCTGCAGCTGCTGCATCCCTAAGGACGAAGTGGCGCCTTGCGAGTGAAATAAAGAACACCAATCAGCAGGCCGCATTTGGTGCTGCTGCTGCTGCTGGTGCTGCTGCTGGTGCTGCTGGTGCTGCTGGTGCTGGTGCTGGTGCTGATGCTGCTGCTGCTGCTGCTGCTGCCGCTGCTGCTGCCGCCTCCGCTGCAGCACAGCCCAATCAACATGAGGTACCTCAAGCAGCTCGGAGGCCTCCACGGGTGTGTTTACAATTTGCTGCTGCTTCGGTGGGCACTGAGTATAGAGAACCTGCTGCAGCAGCTGCTGCTGCTGCTGCAGCTGCTGCTGTAGCAGCAACTGCTGCTGCTGCAACTGGAACTGGAGCTGCTGCTGCTGCTGCTGTATGACAGAATGCATGCCAGGCCCATGCTGGCGGTGTAGCATGTGCTGCTGAAGATGCTGTTCCTGCTGCTGGATCTGCTGCTGCAGCCGTTGCTGCAGCTGCTGCAGCTCATGTTGCTGCTGCTGCAGAGCTACCTGTGGAGAAACTGTCCCACGGAACATCCAACTTTGCTGTTGCTGCTGTTGCTGCTGCTGCTTTTGCTGCTGCTGCTGCTGCTGCTTCGCGCAGCTTTGCATGCCCCACTGGCTGTGTTCCATCTTCATTACAGCAGAGGACAGCAGCAGCTGCTGATGCTGCAGCAGCTGCTGCTGTTGCTGCTGCAGCTCCTGGTCTGTAACTACATCTGACAAGAGGCTGATAATCCGCTGCTGCTGCTGCTGCTGCTGTTGCTGCTGCTGGTGAAGGGGGGGAACTGTGTCTGTACGCTGCTGGAGCGGCAGCGACTGTAAGCAATGTGTTAGTTCCTGCTGCTGCTGCTGGTGCTTCTGCTGCTGCTGGTGCTTCTGCTGCTGCTGCTGCTGCTGCTGCTGCGGGAGGTCGTGCCTAAGGGACGCAGAGACAGCTGAAGCATTTAGCAAGCCAAGGGAATGTGGAGGTAGCTGCTGCTGCAGCTCTGCAGCATTTGCTGTCTCTTCTTCTGTCTCCTCCTCTGATCTCCTTTCTGTTTGCTGCGCTGCTGAGATAATACTGTCTCCGTTCTGCAGCACGCACACGCAACTCGCGGCAGCAACTCCTGCTGCAATAGCTGCTGCTGCTGCTGCTGCTGCTGCTGCAGCGGATTCAGCACCACAGAAATCAACACCACACTAAAGCAGCAGCAGCAGTGTCACCAGCAGCAACAGCAGCAATAGCAGTAACAGCAACAGAGGAAGCAACAGCAACAGCAGCTGCAGCAGCAAGAGCAACACCGACTGCAGCAACACCAGAAATAGCAACTCTAGCGGCAAGCGCACTGCACGTGCAGTAGCAGCAGCAACAGCAAAACTCCAGCAGCATCAGCAACAGAAACAGCAACAGCAACGGCAGCAGCAGCAGCAGCAGCAGCAAGAGCAGGCTTGTTTGTCTCCGCAGAAATGCGAACAGCCAATACAGGAGACACAAAGACAATGCCTTTGCTGCTGCTGCTGCTGCTGCTACTGCTGCTCCTAGTACCGTTTTTACTGCTACTACTACTGCTGCTGCTGCTGCTGTTGATGTTGCTGCTGCTGCTGGCTGCGAGAAAGACACTTAAAACTCACTGCTAAATTGAATGGCGCATCCTCCACGATGGTTGTCGCAGCAGCAGCAGCAGCTGCTGCTGCTGCTGCTGCATCTGCGTCTCCTTCTTCTGCTGCATTTGCAGGACAAGAGCCCCCAGTGCAGCGGTGAATGCCTAGGAGATCTTCTGTACTGCTGCTGCCGCTGCTGCTGCTGCCGCTGCTGCTGCTGCTGCTGCTGCTGCTGTGCAGTGGTTCATCCTCTCCAACGGCCCCCGGTGTTCTGCAGCAAGAGAGAGACAAACGAGACTGCAGCAGATCCTCCTCTGTCGGGCATGAGCTCACCTGCTGCTGCTGCTGCTGCTGCAGCTGATGCTGCGACTGCTGCAGAACTGTGGCACTGCGCTTGAGGCTCTGATGCTCCTGCTGCTGCAGCAGCAGCGTATCGCAAGCAGTGTCCTGCTGCTGCTGCTGCTGCTGCCGTTGCCGTTGCTGTTGTTGGTGCTGCTGCCGCTGCTGGCTTTGTGTCTGCGCAAAGCAGTTGAACTGGAGCCCGTCTGCTGCTGCTGTTGCATGCAAGGGACAGAAAGTGCTGCAAGTAATATCTGCTGCTTCTGCTGCGTCTGCTGCTTCCGCATGCAGCTCAGCAGCTAAAAGATTAACAAGCACAGGATCGAACGATCCCCGAGTGTCTCCTCTGTCTCCTAAAGGCACCAACTTGAGGTCAGAAGAAGAGCGGCGCCGGAACATCTTCACACAAACCCTAAACCCTAAACCCTAAACCCTAAACCCTGCGGCGCACGCAGCAAACCTCACACTTCATATTACGTAACTTATAACAACAGCTGCACCATCGACATCAAACAAGCAGCAGAAACAGCAGCTGCAGCTGCAGCAAATGCAGCAGCAGCAGCAGCAGCAGCAAAGACAGCACTCTAAATGCAACAGGAAGTTTTACCTCCTACTGTGTAATACGTCGGGACAACGTGCATGCAAGCCAGCAGCAGGAGCAACAGCAGCAGCAGCAACAGCAGCAGCAGCAACAGCAGCAGCAGCAGCAATAGCAGCAGCAGCAGCAGTAATCGCCATCGAGCACCCCACCTTGAGGCCACCAACTCAGCATAGGAGGACCCAGAGGTCAGAGGCAGCTCCAGTTGCTGCTGCTGCTGCTGTTGTTGTTGCTGCTGCTGCTGCAGGGATGGGAGGAGGTTGCGGGGATCGTCTCCAGCAGCAGCAGCAACAGCAGCAGCAGCAGCAGGAACAGCAGCACTTTCCCCAGTGCCTTGCAGTCTGTCTATGGGTGAAGACACCCCACCTGTTGTGTTGCTGCTCTTTCCTGTTGCTGCTCCTTCTTAGCAGCAGCAACAAAAGCTCGAGGCTGCCAGCAGCAGCAGCAGTAGGAGGAGGAGTAGGGGCAGCAAAGGCAGCAGCAGCAGCAGCAGCTGCTGCTGCTGCTGCCACCGTAACAGCGCCCCTTAGCTGCTTCTTTTGCAGCGGGGGCAGTTGCTGCTGGTGGTGGGGGGGGATCGAGCGATCCCAGGACTTCTGTCGAAGGAGGCGCTGCTGCTGCTGCTGCTGCTGCTGTCTTCTGCTATTTGTTTGTGTCTGCTACCTGCTGCTGCTGCTGCTGCAGTAAGAAGCAGCGCTGCTTGCAGCAAATTAAACAGGGCAGCAGTTTTCTCTCTCCCTCCTACCTGTGAACGATAGAGAGATGCTGTGGTCTCCCCCCGGACCCCTACAGCAACAGTTGCTGCTGCTGCTGCAGCAGCTGCTGCGACTGCTGCTGCCGCTGCTGCTGCTGCTTCCTTTCCCTTTAATAATTAATTACTTTTGTTTTTAAACGTATTTTCTTTACTATGTACCCTAAAACAAACAACAGCAGCAGGGAGAAGCCTCCTGACTCACACCTGTGGCCTTCCGCTCCCGCTGCTCCTGCTGCTGCTGCTGCTGCAGCAGCAGCAGCAGCAGCTGCTGCTGCTGCAGCAGCACCAGTGGTCCGGCAGCAGAGCTGCTGCTGCTGCATGCATCTTCCCCTCGTACTTTCTTTTCAGAGATTTAAACTGTATTTAAATTGTGCTGTTTATTTTTTGCTGTAGAGACAAACAGACACCGCGCCACCCCAACCTCTAAACCCTAAACCCTAAACCCTAAACCCTAAACCCTAAGCTCAGTACCTCCTCAGTAGACAGAACCAAGAAGAGATATTTTCCTCTCTAGTGGTGTAATGTCTCCTTAGCTATACGACATGCAACAGACAGGCATTTAGGGTTTAGGGATTAGGGTTTAGGGTTTAGGGTTTAGGGTTTAGGGTTTAGGGTTATCCCTGCCTCCTCGAGGCATCGACAAGACTTCAGGAACTGCAAGAAGACATAAAGATATTTATAATAAAATATTAATGCAGCATCAACTCCTCCCTAAACCCCCTAAACCCTAAACCCTAAATCCTAAACTCTAAACCCTAAACCCTAAACCCCTCTCCTGTCCTGCGCACAGATATATATATATATATATACGAGACAAAGGAGACAACAGATTCTGTTTTTAAAGGAGACAAAGGAGACAGCAGATTATATTTTAAAATATACAAGAGACAACAGGTTGGTCTTATAAATTAAAGACGCAGACATTATTATTTAATTATATAATTAACAAAAGTATATTAGTAATATACTTATGTATTATATAATAATATAATAATATTATTATACAAGTTATATGAAAATATAATATTATTATATCTTAAAAGAGACAGAAGAAACAAAAGAGACAAGTTTTGTAAGTACTCCTTTCTGCTGCATGTTGATTCATGCTGTTGCTGCTGCTGCTGTTGCTGCTGTTTCTTAGAGGTAGCAGCAACAGCAGCGGTAGCAGCAGCAGCAGTAGCAGCAGTAGCAGTAGCAGTAGCAGTAGCAGCAGCAGCAGCAGAAGCAGTAGCAGCAGCAGCAGAAGCAGTAGCAGCAGCAGCAGCAGCAGCAGCAGCAGTAGCAGTAGTAGCAGCAACAGCAGCAACAGCAGCAGCGCATGCAATTGTTATATGCCCCTTTGTCTGTCTCCTTTTTGTGTGTACTTCTTTAGAAGTCTCCATAGCAGTTAGAGGCATCTCTAAATAATTCACAAAGAGACAAATAATAAGCCTGAAGTGTAATTAGACTATTATTATTATTATACATATATACATGTTAATATATATATTATATACATATATATATATATGTATATATGTTACTATATACATAGATATATACATGTATATTATTATTAGATGTATACATATATATAAGATTAAAAGGAGTATTATTTCTATAAATAATAATAATAAGAGAAATACTATTATTATATATATGCATATACATAGAACTAATATTAATAATAATAATAATAGTAATATTAATAATAATATTATCACTGTAATAATAATAATAACAACAACAACAATAATAATAAAAAAATAAAAGTAAAATAATAAAAAATATAATAATAATAGTAATAATAGTAATAACAATAACAAAATAACAAAATAACAATAGAGATAAGATAATAATAATGATAATAATGTGATAATAATATGATTATGATAATAATAATAACAGTTTAACAATAATAAAATAAAATAAAATAATAATAATAATAGAATAATAATAATAACAATAATTATACTTGATGCCTGGGGGGTTAATAGAAGGCGAAAAGAAAAACAACACAAACAAAAACAAAAAAAAGGAGACAGAAAGTGCTGTTGGAGACAGCAGCAGCAAGAAGAGGCTTAGCACTTGCTTCCTGTGCTGCTGTTGCTGCTGCTGCTGTTGCTGCTGCTGCTGCTGCTGCTGCTGCTGCTGCTGCTGCTGCTGCTGCTGTTATTTGCATGCGTTTCTTCTGTCTTTTTTTTAATAGGGGTTCTTGTCTTATAAACTCTCTCCTCTTGTCTTCTTAACTGTCTCCTTAGCTGTCTCCTTTTGTCTCCTCATAGAGAGGCAGACACATCGATGCCTCTTAGGGGACCCCTTGTTATTAATAGAGTTAACTTCTTACTGTCTCCTCTTCATAGGGGACCCCTTCTTGCTGTCTCCTCTTCCTAAGGGCCCGCTCCTGACTGTCTCCTCTTCCTAAGGGCCCCCTTCTTACTGTCTCCTCTTCTTAGGGGCCCCCTACTTACTGTCTCTTTTTTATAAGGGCCCCCTACTTACTGTCTCCTCGCCCTAGGGGCCCCCTCCTTACTGTCTCCTCTTCTTAGGGGCCCCTCTGAGTGTCTCCTCTTCTTAGGGGCCCCCTACTTACTGTCTCCTCTTCCTAAGGGCCCCCTTCTTACTGTCTCCTCTTCATAGGGGCCCCTCTGAGTGTCTCCTCTTCATAGGAGCCCCCTTCTTATTGTCTCCTCTTGTTAGAGGGATAAGGAGACAAACAGCAGCAGAGAGAGATAAGGAGACAGACAGCAGAAGAGAGAGGAGACAGACAGCAGCAGAGAGAGATAAAGAGACAATCAGCAGCAGAAGCAGAAGACGAAGACAAATGGAGACAGAAGAAAATAAATAAAACAGAGAGAGATAAAGACAGAGGAAAAGAGACAGGAGACAAACAAACAAAGACAAAGAAAATAAATAAAAAGACAAACAAACAAAGAAAGAGACAACAAAGGAGACAAACAAACAAAGACCGAAAAAAAGAATAAAGGAGACAAACAAACAAAGACAGAGACAAAGCAAAGGAGACAAACAAGTAAATAAATATATATTTATATATACATATAATTAGATAAATATATAAATATATATATATATATATTTAGATATATACATGCCTATATATATATATATATATATATTCTATATATATATATATATATTCTATATATATATATATATACATATATATTCTATGTATATATAACGAAAGAGAAAAACAGAGAAAGAAAGAGACAGAAAAGAAGAGATAAACGAGCAGAGACAGAGAAAAAGAATAAAGGAGACAAACAGAGACAGAGACAGAACAAAAGAGACAGATAAACAGAGACAAAGAGACAAAAAGAGAAAGACAAACAGAGACAGAGACACTTCAACAGAGCTATCGTTCATTAACAAAAGATAAAGAAAAGGAGACAGATAAAAAAAAATAAAGCAAAGGAGACAAAGCGGATAAGAAAAGAAAAGAGGAGACAGAAGGAGACAAACAACAATAAAAAGATAAACAAACAAAGACAAAGAGAGACAAGCAAAGAGATAAAAGAAGAAATAAACAAAAACTAATACAAAGAAATAAAGATAACAGAAAGGAGA